TATTAATAAAATCTCTTTTATCTAATTTATACTTCTTTATATTGGCTCTAACTTTATGGCCCCATTGAAGTTTTGGCCTTCCTCTTTTACGTTTGCCCATCACTTCCAAACTCTTAACTTTATTTCCTATGTAGTTCATAGGCCTTCTCATTGTGTGCCCATACCACCTAAGTCTGTTTACCATTAACTTAGTATTAATGGGCACTACCTTTAAACTACTTAGTATTCTTGTACTGCGCACTTTATCCTTTCTTGTTACCCCAGCAATCATCTTCAGCATTCTCATCTCCATGGTTTGTAGACTTCTCTCGTCTGATTCTTTGGTTGACCATGTTTCCGAACTATATAGAATAGTTGGTTGTACTATGGAACTGTAAATTTTTCCCTTTAATTTGTGTGGGATTCTTTTGTCAAATAGCACTCCAGATAAAGATCTCCACTTTAACCACCCTTGATTAATCTTATTCTTTATCTCTTTTTCTATTGTGCCGTTTGTTTGTATAGTGGAGCCCAAATATTTGCAGCTTTCAATTGCGGATATCTGCCAATCATTTATATCAATACTCTCCGTTTCATCTCCTCCTATCACCATATACTCCGTCTTTTCTCTATTTACTTTTAATCCGTGAGTTTCTAGGATATTTATCCAATTCACTAACCTTTCTTTCATTTCATCCTTGGATTCGGCAAGTATCACAATATCATCTGCAAATATCATATTCCACGGGACTGTTTGAGGTATAGACTGTTCTAATACATCTATTACTGTAATGAAGAGAAGTGGGCTGAGAGCCGACCCTTGATGAACTCCTTCGGCTATTGTGAAGCCTGCTGAAGTACCTGTTGTGCTACGGACCAATGTTGTATGTCCCATATACATATCCTCTATTATTCTTATATATTTTTCGGGAACTTTTTTGTGGCGTAGCGCCCACCAGATAGGTTTTCTTGGGATTCTATCAAAGGCCTTTTCTAGATCGAGAAAGACCATGTGTAGCTTTTTGTTCTTTTCCCTGTATTTTTCACTCATTTGCCTAATTGCGTGGATAGCATCGGTTGTTGATCTTCCAGGAATAAAGCCAAACTGAGTCTCTCCTATTTCGATTATATCTCTTAATCTTTTTTCTATTATTTTTTCGTATAGTTTTAGACAGTGTGACATTAGTTTTATGCCCCAGTAATTTTGACAATTATGTGGATCCCCTTTATTTTTGACAATTATGTGGATCCCCTTTATTTTTGAAGATAGGATAGATAGCTCTGCCTCCATTTTTGGGGAACCTCTTCATTTCCAAGTATCTTATTGTATAGATTTGTGAGGAGATGTATTCCATCATCTCCTAATGCTTTAAGGCTTTCTATTGGAATATCGTCTGGACCTCTAGCTTTGTTGTTTTTCATATGCTTGAGGCATGTGATTATTTCTTGTTGTGTTATAGGTTGTACAAGGTTTTGACAAGGTGAGTGTTCGTCTAGATTCAGTATGTGCGGATTAAAGTTGAGAAGCTCTTGAAAATATTCTCTCCATCTACTCATTATTTCTTTTTCCTTTATTATCAATTTTCCATCTTTATTTTTGATTACTTTCGGAGCTCCGTTTATATCCCTAGAGTTCTTTTCTCGCTGTTTGGCTAATCTGTATATTTTATTTTGCCCTTCTTTGGTATGTAGATCTTCGTACATGTCATCGTATGCCATAGATTTGGCTCTAGCCACCTCCTTTGTAGCTAATCTCTTGAATTTTTTATTTTTTTTAAAGGTATTTTAATTAGAATATTCACTTATCCCTTCTCATAAAAATCAAAAAAAGTCTCGAAGCTTTAAAATTCTAAAAAATATGCCTTGTTTTTAAATTTGTGGAAAGGTTTTTATTTATATAAGATATATAGCAAATAAGGTATTATTTTAAGTTGTAGTCTTTAAGAAATATTTATACTTATAGTTCTATATTATTTTTTTTGATGATATTTTTACTAATCTTTTAGGCTTAATACAAATAAGTTTAGACATCCACTAGTAAAATCTCAGGGCGTAGGGCGATATTTTTCAGGCTAAAATATTTAGTTTAACAATGAGGAATAAAAACTATTCTAATATTTATTACCATTCAAAATACTAAATATATCTCAAATAAATACCAATATTTTTTGAGAAACCAATTTGGCTTGCTCCATAAGGTAAAATGACATTTTTTTTCTTTGTTTATTATTAAAGAGAGATAAATATATATTTGGACAATCATTATGAAAGGTTATCAGTATCACACACTCAGAAACCAAAAATAAAAACAAAATAAAAATATTTTTTTAAAAAATACATGGAAACTAGAGAAAAGTCAATATTAGGAGCAACTTTCCAGCAATAATGGGAATATCACCAGATATTGGCAAAGCTAAAACAGATATAATTTAAAATATAAGAAAAAAACATAAAAAAATGATTGAACGTATAAAGATGAATAAACATTTGTGCATTTTTAGTATATATAGATGTTTAACATTAGTTTCCATGGTTAGTAGATTTAAAAGTGTTTCATGAACTTTGGAACGTTTATTTTGTTGATTTATACATAATTCTTTTCTTTCTTTATTATTTATGACTGATAAATCAATATTTGTTCAATCATTAAGAAGTTAAAACAGAGTCGATTTTCTAAAATAATAATAAAAGATAAGTACACGACAGAATCGTGTACGATTCAGAGTTTTCTGGTTTATATCTAGAATATAGGCATTCATTTTTAGATGGAAAGTAAATGAGATACAAGAAATTGAAAGCTGCATGAGAAGAATATTTGATATTTCAGGTAGGTTTAATTTGATGTTAGTTATATTTATATGAGATTATTTATAAACATTTACATTTAGCCTTTTAAAATTTTTGTATCTTGATCAGTTCAGACATCTTCTGCAAGATATTTAATTATTGGTGCCACAAAGTTGGAAGAAAAAAGAATAAGGAAAGAAAATGGTAAAGGAAAAAGCAAGATTAATAACTGTACTATGTAGAGGAGCCAATATCGTATAATAGTGGTGCTTACATTAAAACCCTTTAAGGGCACGACTAGTGCAGTCGATTCAAGACGTGTCCATAATTTTGTTAGGGTATGAGGAAACACTTTGGATGTATTTATATTTTATTTAATAAAAATAAATTTCATCCCCATAAATTTTATTGGAAATTTTTAGGTTCACATATTGCTATGGCTATATAAGATTTTTGCAAAAATATTTTTAGTTTTCACTTATATTTAAATCCTATTTTTTTAAAATTTTCTATGGCTATATTACATTTTTACAAAAATAATTTTTAGTTTTCACATTTTTTGAATATTTAGATCCTTTTTTTAAAAATTTTGAATTGTAGTCGGTTTCTCTTACTAATTTTTCTTTTAAATTCTTTCTTATAATGGTATATTGTTTACATTTTCTGGGGAGAGAGGGGTGGGAGAGGAGTATGGGGGTGGGGATTTTATAAGCTTAAAATAATATTTATGAGAACTACGAGGATGAAATTTCACCTTTTCCTACTTGGTTACACGCCTGAAAGGAATAATATCCACCCTTTGGAAAAGTAATGTCTGACGCTATTGAGTGTGGTTAAGGACTAATAAGAAGATATGTTTAATATTATTTATTGTTATACTCATGTAAATATAAATATATTAATATTAAAATAGATACGGGATACGTGATATAAAGCGATTTAATCCTCTAGCGTTGAAGGTTCAACAGAGCTACGCTAGGCTTTCCTCATTTCCATCTAATTGGAACTAATTGGGTGTAAAAGTAAAAATATGAGAAGCCCTCCACACATTTGTGGGCTAGCCGCACGTATTTGTAGGCGCAACATTTCGAAAAATGTTACTTAAACCTCTATAGGCTGATTAAAAAAAGTGGGGCAGAAAAAGAGCCTATACCCGAGAACTCCAGTATAATAATTACTTTAAGGGTGGGTGGTGGCTGATTTTAAGTTTAAATTGTTTAGTGTAAGTCCTAATGAGATTCAATGTTCATAGAATTTTAAATAAAGATATAATTAAATTAAAACAATTTGCCAGATCAGTATGATATAGTATTATTTTATTAATGATTTATCCCATACAAATATAAGTAAGACTTTCATTCATTCTTCCAAAAAATTTTGCACCAAACGAACCTAACCTACCCGTTTTTTTATTTAACTTTTTAAACGTGTTATATTAATCTAAAATATAAAATAGAAGAAAAGGAAAGAATTGGGAAAGAAGAAGAGAAAAAAGAAAGAGGTAGGTAAAGAAAAAGGAAAAAGGTAAAATGAAAAGGAAATTTTATTAATTAAATATTTTTTATAGATATAAATGGTTGAAAATTTTCAATACATTTTATCCTAAATATCATATCATATCATATTATACACTGGGGAGACATCCCACAATTAAGTGGGCACTCCACCACCCCATAGAGGGCGTCTCCAGTGCAGTGAATTTGCATTCACTGTTTGGCAGAAAATTTACCCTACTGTCTGGGCCCTGTTTAATTTGAGTGGGATGACAGGTACCACTCGTGGATAAGCCAGGATCCACAAAGTTGACAGTAATTTACCCTACTGTCAGGGTCCCGTTTAATTTGAGTGGGATGACGGGTACCACTCGTGGATAAGCCAATTTTATCCTAAAATAAAATAATTTTCAAAATCTGCATTTTATCCTAAAACAAAATAATTTATAATTTGATTGACATTTATATTTCTATGACTTATATAACTTGACTATAAAAAATTTTCAAATGTTAAACTATAAAATCATGCATGGTGTGTTTGATTGTTCTTAAAAAATATATGCATATACGATATGCATAATTAGCGTGTTTAATTGTCATTTAAGTTAATTTTTTTATAATGACTTAAAATATATGGATAAATTATATCATCACAAGGTACTTCAATTTTTTAAAATTACAATAACCCCATATTTATAGTAAAAATAAATGAATGATAATAATTTAAGCCAAGATATTTGATGATAATATTTATTTATAATATATTGATTCTATTTTTCTATATGTATAAATATATGAAATAAATTCGATTAAATGCTCCACAATTCTCAAATATTAATTATTGCCAGTAGAGGATATGTTTGCAATTTATTCCCACAAATTAAATATCAAAATTATCTTATCACATAAAACATTGCCCTTGACTACCAAAAATTACAATTTATTTAAATCAATTTGCCAAATAAATAATGATTACTCAGCAAAATTTCAGAATTTAAATTATCATTACAGATCAAAAAAATTTGACACTCTCAGATCCTATTACAATAATTCTAAGTATTTGAAAAGATTATATCATTGGAATTATAAATTTTTTATCAATGAACCTCTACAAAGGTATTTATTATTTTTATCTAAATTAAATTTTAACATTTTTAAAAATATATTCAACAAGTACTAAATTTTTAAATATGAGTTGATTTTAAAATTATGTATAATATTATATGAAACAAACTTAATGAGTCAGGCAGTAAAATATTATGTTATTGAATAATGACTTGAGGCATATTTATTTTTTTTTATAATTTTCATAAAGCGAAAATATAAAAGTGTTTGATATTTGTTAAAAAATATTATTTTTTAAATTTTACTTGTGTTATGATGTCATTATACATATGATATATTATTTATTTAAGATGCCCTTATATTGACCTGTAAGTTATGGGCTTGGATTTTTCATTTATATTTATATCACAATCATTTCCATTTATTTGATATATTTCTATTTTTATATATAGATCATTTGTGCCAAAATTAGATAAATTCTTAGAAGTTAAAAATAACAGAATGGCTCCAATTCCGACTCCTGCAGAAATAGTCAAACATTACATTGATTCAAATAAGGTCATCATTTTTAGCAAGACCACTTGCCCGTATTGTTCAGGGGTAAATATATTTTGAAATTTATTTTTGTATCACTTACATAGATGTAGCTGGGAGATCCACAATTTACATATTTGTGCTTTTATCAATATCTTTTAAGCTCATAAAAGCACCACCCCCCCCCCAACCTTCACAAAAAAATCAATAAATTCATGGCTACCAGTTGTCCTCTTTTAGGATGTCTAAAATATATATTCATTTTGATTATTTTTAATTTGTCCTATTTTTTTGTATAAATTTTTTTTGCATATTATTAGGAAAATATTTTTACAAATTTCTAATAAGTTTTGCTTGATAATTTTTTCATTATGTTATATTTTTCATTGTATTCTCCTCATTATATATGAATTTGTTGAGCTTGACTATAACTTTTTTATCATTCAAAAAAAAAATTACCCTGTGTTCAACAATTTATTGAAATGCATCAAGTATTAAAATTTTTGTTGTGAAATATCCCAATTTAAAAATGGCTAGATTAAGATATTATTAACCAATATACTATTATGTAAGCCTTGAGATTTGGCAAATAGAGGTTCAAACCTTTCTGCGATCTATGAGAGAAATATCCAGATTTACGCAATATTATTTGGCTAAAATCTTAATCAGGCTATTTTTAAAAATCATCATCAGGTCATTTAACACTAATTGAAATCCTATTTTTCCAAAAAATTTACCAATTATCAGAATTTTTTTAAAAAATGATTTAAATAAAGAATATCTGTAGTTTTCCTATATGAAAAATAAATATTTGAGAAAGAAAATAACTCAGTCATTGAAATCAGAGACATTCATTGCCTTGATCCAGTCCAGGCCTGCCATAAAAAAAATTGTAGGCCCAGCATGTTATTATTATTTATACCAATATGAATAAAAAATTATTCAATTTGAAAATACGAATAATAATGGTGATTTTATTCAATTATATTTCTGTAAGTATACTCATGTTTATCTTATTTTTTTTGATGTAACATGTATTTATATTCATAATTTTCACCTTTGAAAATCTTTTGTACTTTATATTCATTATTCTCATTTCTTAATCTTTCAATTTATAAATATTTGGGCTTTTGATTTCATTTATTTAATTTAGTCTAGTTGTTAAACACTACAAATAATTAAAATATTTCTTAATTTTCACTACAAATAATGTTATTTCAATTTTTCACTTCATTTCAAAATCTAATAAATTTCAACAGTATAATCATAAAATTCAATATCAAATAATTCAAATTCCAATTTATAAATATTCCACTCATTTTACAAAATCACCGACTAAATAAAATTATTAATTTACAATAAAAACATATTATTAAAAGAATAATAATCTGATTGACATCTCTTGAAAATAAATAAACATTTTTATTTTTCTCTTTAATTCAACATTTGCAACAATAATGAGGAAGTTTGATTAAATAAATCTTGATATTTAAAAATTTTTAAGATATTTTTTCAAAATAGTGCGTTTTTTCACTTTTAGGAATTGTATCTAATTTTGTATTCTATAAAGCCAATGGTTTTAATTTTTAATATACTTTCTATTAGTATAACATCTATAATTTAACTATACCATAATATATGCCATTTAAGTATATTATAATGATCAATTATAGTTTATATTCAATTCAATTGCAATAAAAGTATATAAAATATTTTTATTTATAAAACTTATTTATATAATAAGTAATAACATTAATCTATTTACATAATAAGTAATATACAAATATATTATGAAATTTGAAATAAATATTTAAATAAATATTTAAAATTAATATATTGAAGATTTCTTTTTAGAAATACCAAAATTTCCAATTTATCAGAGGCCAGTCTGCTGTGATGGGGACCAATATCAGTTTACTAAAAACAGATTCTGAAGAGATTATTGCACACTTTTATAAGCAGAATGTTTATTAACTAATTATTACTATTAAAAAAATTAAACATAAAAATGGATTTCGATTTTATTTAAAATAAATTGTTTTTTAGACATAACTTTTTATTAAAATTTTGTAATATTTTATTATTGTTAAAACGCCATTTTTTATCGGATCGGATCGGAAAATTTTATAATATTTGCTGATAACCGATATTTTTTAAATGGGTGAAATATCGACCCGATCCGATATAAAATATCGGTACATCTCTAGCTAATTTTTTAAAATGTTATAATGTAATTTTTTTTATAAATTTTATTATTATTCTTTACCTTATGATGATAAATTATATCAATGACTCCGGCCCTAAGCTTGGCTCAGCCTGAATTTAAATATATTCAGGACTGGCCAGGTCTGATTTTTTTATATAAAATATCGGGACGGTCCTTAAAAATTTTTTTAAAAAAAATACCCGGGCCGGGAACGTATATTTTAAAACCAATCACTATTATTAGCTATAAAAATTAAATAAATGTATTTTAAAAAAATCGAAAAAAATATTTGGGCTCTACGAATGGTACCTCTGCAGGTCTCTCCTTAATATTAAAATAAAAAAACTTGGATTTTTTAAAAATTTTTTAACTAAATATAATTTTTTATTTTTCTGTACTCTAAAACCACATTAGTGATTTTTCACTGAACCCGAACTTTTTTTAAGAATTAGGGATCACAACCCTTGGTGAATGAAAATAAATTCTATTTATTTTAAATAAAATCTCCATAATAATTTATAATAAGTAACTTAATAGGTTTTGTAGTTACTTTTTAAAAATTATTTTAACAATCTTTTTTCACCAACAACTCCGATTTTTCATTTAAAATGACTTTTTTTTATATGTTCTTGAATAAAAGCTAGTAATACGGTTATAGGAAAAAAACATATATTCTTACTGGAATGAGCTAATCTTCTGGCATTAGTTTTTTTTAAGATAAGCTATTTATTTATATTTTTTTATAATTTAGGCAGATAAAGTATTTTATTACCTTTAATTTTGATTAATTTAAAAATATATATATATATAGGTTAAAGATTTTTTTCGCAAAGAAAAAATTCCATTCGAGGCCGTGGAACTGGATGTAGTAGGTAAGTTCTATTTTAATAATTTTTATCCTTTAATAAAATGATACCTTTATAAAATTACCAATTTATAAGAGATTGAGAGGGGGGGTGGGACATTTTGTTCACCCTATTCTTAAATAATAATAAAAAAATTATATTTATTCAATTAAAATCAATAAATCGATTATAAAATATTATAAATATAAAATAATTTTAAGATATTTTCTAAAAGGAATAAAAATTAGACATAATGCCAAATTTATTTGTTTGTAAGCATAGGTATCCAAATAACTATTCGAAATAGTTATTCTTATTCGAATGATTTAATATTTGTTAGACACGCCCAATATAAATAATTTGATAAATTAACAAAAACAAATAGATAAATAAACATTTTTATAGCAAATTTGAATATTATTGAAACGATTGCAGAATCATCATAAATTATTCATAAAATTTAATGATTTTTATTTTTTAACCTTGTTTTTTTTAACTTTCCTGTTTTATTGACTCAAATTATATTAGAATTATAGGCTAATTAATGTTACCCATTTTATGTTTTATAAGTGACTTATGTTGTGCGCCACCTAGGTTTGGCATGATTTAATCAAATTGATTTAGATCGCGGTTAAAATCAAAGATTTTTTGAATAAAAGTCACGATTTAATAGTTTCCCTATTTACTTGTGATTTTAATAAATATCAGTTTTTATTTTTAAATAAAATTAAAAAAATTTAGTTATATGTTATATGGCATATAAGTTGTAATTATATGCTAAATTTTATTATTAGAAATGATTTTATTTGAAGAGTTATTCCTGAAATACATTTTTTATTATAATAAAAATTCCTATAAAAAATTATTTAAATTAATATTGGTTAAATTTAAGAAGATATAAAGAATCTATAAATTTCGGTTCGCCCTTATTTGTATTCAATATTTTTAACTATGAAAATCAATTCTTGCAGTTTATATATAATCTTAAACATAATTCTAAATTTATGCAAACTAAGTTATTGTTGTTTTGTAATTATAATGTATTAAAATTTAGTACAAATGGTAAAATATTAAATATTGATAATTTACTTTTAGACAATCCAATAAGCTTTTACAAAATGGATGTTTTATTGTAAATAACCTTTCTCTGGGAGTTATTTTTTTCATATATTTGATTTTAAAATAATAACGTTGAAGCAACAAGTTTAGCCTCCTATAAGATTATAATTTTAGACAGTTTTAAACACAACATGAAAGAAGCAAACTTGAGGTATAATGTAGCTAAAATATATAATATTGGCTTGACATTAGAGATCTGCATGAACCATAATTATTTTTAAAAAATAGATTCGCCTAATTTTTTACCTAATTAATGATCAATTTTGAGAATCCCTCACCAAAAACACCATGGGTGTTTTTGACACTTGGGATGAATATTACATTTGCTAGGCCCCCATATTTATTTATTTATTTTCAAGAGTTCACCTGAACAAATTGCATAGGTTTTTCTATTAGTTCAAGCTAAAAAACCAGGGTACAAGACTAATACCATTGGATCCTTTTTTTAAAGAAAAGACGATATTGTGTATTTTTATTTATATTATTTTATGAATTGTAGATAATATATAAATAATTGAAATTTTTTTGTAAAGGATTACCATGATTATTATAATATTACATTTTATCATAAAAAATTTTTTTTCCATACCATTATATATTTTTTTGTTCTAAAAGATTTAATAAAATCAAGATTATGAGAATTATTAATTTAAGAATTTAAAAACATCAGACCAATTCTAAATTAAGAATATAAAAGCAAATAGTGTGCAGAGTGAGAATATATAGAATATATATATAAATATTTAAAAGAGTCCGTCCTCCTTAACACATACCATAGATTTTAAAATTAGCTTATACCACTTCTGCTAAACCCAGTCACAATTTAATACCTGGATTAACTTAATTTATATCTTTTATTTATATCATAGAAAATGTAAAACAAATTTAGTTGGATGATGGATGAAAAAATCACTAATATGTATAAAAAAAATAGGTTTATCGCCAATAACTTTTTTCGAATATAAACATTTGGATATTTTTCCCAAATATTTAATAGGGCTATAGAAGTTTTCGCAATAGAGGTTTTTTTATGATATCAATAAATAGATAAATGTTTGGATGAGGATAAGGACATATTTCCTTAAAACACGGAGAAGGCCTTCAATATTGTATTTCATTCTCTCCCCTTTAACATCAGATGTGCTCCATATTCCATATTTGAACTTGGTATTATGTTAATACACCTTAATTGAAAAAATTGGGTTTGGCGACTTCAATTATTATAGACGGCACATTACTTTCTAATGTAAACAGGATGACCAAAATAATACGAACGTATTATTTAATTAGATATACAGTTGGGTCAGACAATATTCCTGAATGCTTCTTACGATGCATTGACAGAAATGAAAGTAGCATCCCATTTACAGTAATTCTCAAAAAAAATCTTTTTGAGGTCTAAAAATACACCAATTTTAAAATATATGGTTGCACTTGATGGCGAAAAAATTAGGTTTAATGATAAGCAATAATTTTTCAATAAATAATGCATTCGAATATATGTATTCTTATTTGGTAATAGAATATAAGCATAGGGATGACCAAAAAAAAATTTATTGTATTAAATTGTTTAAATAATTTAGGGATGCATTAAAAGTGCCATCTATATATATTTTATGCCCAGGCGAGATAGAAGAGTATGAGTAGAAAAAAATCATATTATCACTACAAATTAAAAAAAAGGATCATTAGTCTTGGTGACTTTATGTTTATCAAATAATGCTACATTGCAAGATAAAGATGGCCGTGTTTATTGAATAACGCCACATAATTGTTTTTACCGACAAAAATGTGGATATGATTTTGGGATGTTGCATATCAAAGAAATCTAATTTCCTTTTGTAACTTTTTTGTATATTTTATATATACTTAAATATTTTTTCAGTTCATTTCTTGTAAGTTAAATTAGACAATACACTTCATCATAATATGATCATGTTGCTTAGTCATTGTAAAATGAGTACCTAATATATCCCTTCGTTTATAGTTTATGCCTAAGACATTTAAAATAAGATTTTCTAATGCAAAGATAGAAATATTTATTGGAATATACTTAATTATTATTAATTTTGAATAGGGTGCTTTTTTTTTAAATAAATAAGTAAATAGAATTTGATCCTATTTATTATTAGCTTTGTTAAAAAATAAAAGATGTAAATATATAAATATATAATATAACAAAGCTATTTATCAAGACCACAGACAATATTTTATATATTAATGAAAATGAAACTCTTTGGAATAAAATATAATTATTCATACTAATGATGGTAAAATATTTTTTTTAAATAAATCTGTCAAGACCACGACTATATTCTTAATAATGATGCAACATGCTATAATACATTATTTATATATCTATTTATTATTTTTAAACAAAACTATTAATGAAAAAAATCAGCATCTCGACTATATTTCAAATGCTGATACAACTAACCCATGTTACTATAATATATTATTTATATATTTACATTCATTATTTTTTAAACAAAGCTAATAATCAAGAAAATCAAATATTTTTTATATCAATTTATAAAATAACCAAATTAAAATAATTTAGTTGATTCCAATTATGCAATATAGAATTTTGTTGTTAATGTCTTGCATAACTTTAAAGGAAGGGATATTATTATGTACTTAATTTAAATAATGTTAAAAGTTATTATCAACTTTTTTACAATATATGAATCAGAGACCTGCAGAGGTACCATTTTAACGGCCCGGCCCTGATTATAAAAGTTCCGGCCCGACCCGGATATTTCATTCAAAAATTTTTACTGCCCGGCCCGGGTTTAAATATTATAGGTCCGGCCTGGCCCGAATATTTAAAATAAAAAATTTTTGGGGCCCGGCCCTACCTGAATTTTTTTAAAAAAAATTTTTTAGGCCTGGCTAGGAATTTTTTAAAATTACAAAAAATTCATCTATGTATTTTATCATATTTTTAGGCGAGTATTATCATTTAATAAGCAAGTATATTCGCTAATGTTGTTAAACGGCTTGTTTTGAACAGATTTTTAAAAACGGCTAACTCAATATGTTCGCCAGAAAAATATTGACTAAGCCTCGAAATTTCGATACTATATGTCTAGATCTTTGCTCCTTCTATGAGCAAAATTTTCAGACTTGCATAATATTTCTCTGGATAAAATACTGAGTTAGCCGTTTTTAAAAATCGGCTCAAAACGAGCCGTTTAACAACACTACACATTTTTTTTAAAATTCTAAACAAATATTTAGTATATTACAAATTGATACTATAAAAAATTTGTGTAAATAATATTTTGAGAATATACCATGTATTTATAAAAAAAATAAAAATGATATTTTAATTAATAAAAAATATAACATATATTATATATTATATAATAATGTATTTAATCCTTTGCGTATTTATTCCATGGCAGGAAAACTATAATTTTATTATGTAATTGATACTATGAGTGTTAGCTAGTGTTAACTTTCACCAATCATTATTATATATAATCATTATAATCATATTTAATTGACGAATATAATAATTCATGTTGTATAAATTTTTTAAAAAAATACGGCCCGGCCCGGGTATATTTTAAAATTTTAAAATACGGCCCGGCCTATAAATATTAAATATTTAAGTATACAAAAAACATACAAAAAGTTATGCGCAAAAGGAAATTAATTAGATTCCTTTGACATGTAACATCCTAAAACTTAACCTATATTTTTGTCGTTATCAATACGGCCATCGTTACCTTTCAGAAATGCTAACATAGCATTACTTGATGAACAAAATCACCAAGACTAATAATATTTTTTAAATTTATAATTATAATAATAAATTATTTATTTTCTCTACTTTGCTCTTTTACTCGCCTTTGTTGGACAGGCAAAATATTTCTATATAGTACTTTTAATGCCTCACCTAA